TGATTGCTTACGGTTTAGGTATAACTTCTGCATATAACATTTGATTTATCTTATGCACTTGTTTTTATTTTAACTATGTTTATACCATCTTCTCTTTGTCAATACAGATCCTGTAGGTTTTTGCTTTCACATTTCATCTCCCTCTCTCTCTTTCTCTCCTTACCCCGGTGCTCCCTGCATCTTTTAGTCGAGCAAAAACAGAGGATTGTTACATAGAATAATGTGACTCTACCCTGGAATGTGACAGATAGCAATCATGTATCTTGTTTTTGCCCACTATTCCTGCTAATGTTAGATAATCATATCAGATAAATGTCAGAACTCACAAAGCATTTCCTCGACATTGAGGGTTATGTGTGTCCTCAACATTTGAGGTTCCTCTTTCTTTTTCTTTTTGGGGGCCACATGTCTACATTTAAGCTCGATATATATCTTTCATGTCATCAGAAGTTAACATGCTTTTTTGTGACCAGCTGAAATGTTTGGATATACATGATGTATTGGCATCGTTGAAAATATTACTATATTCTGCTAGATTCAGAATTTGCGGGAGCTTTCATTTGAGTTTTATTTTCTATGCACAGGTTTATTTGTAACATATGTGGCTCTGAACTTGATGGATGGGCATGGTCAACCTGCTTTGCTATATATAGTTCCTTGCACATTAGGTATGTAACATCAAGCGTATAAAGGCGATTATAGTAGAGCAGCCAATATTTAAAATCTGACAGTCAAGGTGGATGTTGATTTCCCACATCGGTTGTGGGATGGGAATTTGGTCTCCAGTCTTGGCAATACTCACCTCATGAACTAGCATTTGGGGTTGAGTTAGGCCTAAGATCCATTTTTCTATCACATACTTGTTAAGTACTCGATGTTAGTGGTGGATCTAGAATTTAGATGTTGTGGGTTTTGAGATATATATTTAACCCTATTTATACTTATTCTCACATATATATAAGGTTTGAGCCAAAAGTTGTGGGTTCTGTCAAACCCGCGTATATAACTGCGGGTCCGCCAATGCTTGATGTGATAGTACACTAAGATCTACTATTGTTATGTCAGGCACGTTTTTGATGTTGGGAAAGAAAAGAGGTGAGTTGAAGCATCTATGGACAAGAGGAGAACCAGATAGGCCTTGCCCTCATATCCGACTTCAACCGGCAGAGTAAATTAGATGTTGTACTATATCTGTAATCACATGTAGCTCTGATTTGTCAAAATATAAAGTTAGGGTACATATTTTAGAAATCTGAAAGAGGTTAGAGTTTTGAAAGTCATACATAGGTTACTTAGGTTGCTCCCCGACCCCGACCGATGTTGAGTACATTGTTGTTAACCATATAGCATGTAGTTTTTCTTTGGGACCATTTTTCAATTTGTACGTTTTCATGCTAATCTTTTTTGTATCGTAAGAAGGAACGAGTAGTTTACTGTTATGCATTTGACATGAGTTGCAAAGATATTTATACCGCTTTTGCAGTTTGCAAGGCGTTCATGCCTCATTATGCAGCAGCACCTGTTAACACTACTTTACAGGGAAAACATGTGTAGTAGAGCATCTGTAAAAGTGAAGACAATGTTCTGTGATAGACTTTGTACAAGGGGATGTTAACTAATTTGATATAGTATTCATTTGGACTGTTTTCTTAAATGATGTGTTTTCCTTTCTTCAATTATGTTTCAGTTTTCTTTCAGGTCAGTTTTACTTCTTGCAACTGATTCCACATTCGTGGCCTTTTCGTTTGCATCTCATGTGTATTATATATGCTGATAATATAATTTTTGCATTGTAAATGTAATTTAACATGTTGTTTGTTACATGTATTTTTTAGATGACATGGAGTAATTTCACAGTCTAGTAATTACGACGACTTGTTTGTTTGTCATAACGTAATTATAGTGTAATTACACCTGTATTGTTTGGTTGCACAAGTGTAATTACACAGTTAAATTAAATTTTAAATGAAGTAATTATCAAACCTTAAAAGTTAATATAATAAATATATGCCTATAAATGATTTTTTATAAGTATAAATGATATTAGATTTGGTATTTAAGATGCATATTTTTTCTTAAATATACACTAATTAGTAATCATATTTTTATAACTAATATTGTAAAAATAATTGATATATATTTTCCAAATCAATAATATCTAGATTGTTTAATTATAAAAACTCAAAACATATGCTTTGTAAGAACATCATGGAATGCATGTTTGATAAAATAAAATAATATTTATAAATATAATGTCATAATATTATGCAAATGTTTGACAAAACTAATCTATTAATTCTAACTAAAATATGAACAACATGCAATATGAAATAACAAGCCACTACTACTAAAACAAATAAATTAGATATAACACAATTTCAAAATCCTCCCAAAAAACTTTTATATATGTCAAATTTCAACATAATAAAAATAAGTTCCAATACAATTTAAGATTAAGAAACATAATAAGTTTATAACCTCATTCAGCAACGAAATTCTACTTTAATGACATCACTCATTATATGCCAAGTTTGTTAATGACTCATTATTTCTAATATTAGGAGGTATAGTTTGAAAAACTAGAATAATAACACAGTTACACTAAATGAAGAAAATAAAATAAATAAGAAATAAAATATACGAGCAATTACATAGAATTAAAGGTAGAGAAATAAAAAATAAATAATGTACAAAGAAAATATATTTTAAAATTAAAAAAGAAATTAAAAAGTAAAATTAAAAAAATGGAAATAAAAAGTTATAAAGAAAATAAATACAAATAAAAATAAAAAGTAAAAATAAAAAAGAAACTTGTAATTACACAGTGTAATTACCACTAATTCTCGCTTCCCCTTCAGAATTAGAGAGTGTAATTAAACCTCTCCAATTACACTCAGTTCAATGTTGTGTATACGGTCAAAATAGATTTCCACTTTCCTACGTTCGATCGAGGTCGAGTGGCAAAAAACCGGAGTAGGATTTTTGGGAGTAAGCTCCGAAGACGGGACAAACGAGCCTCGAGTCCGAAGGCTGCCAGAGTCGGCTCGATAATCTTATCGAGCCCGTGACCAAATTGATCTGCAAGGCATTGCTTCGAGGTCGGAAATGCGCCACGCCCATCCCGAAGGTCGAACTCAAGCCAAGAACGAAGGTCCGACCCAGTGACGAGTTCGAGCCCGTATCGAGCTTACGGACAAGAGCCGTTACAACCGCACCAAGAGAGAGAATCTTGGCGGGAATCGAGGAAGACACAAATCATCATGGGTCATCCACTATATGCTTTATTTTATTATTTTGTTATAAATAATGTAATGACCCTCTATTATAAAAAAGGGGATCCTTGTAAGCTATGCACACATGGAATAGATTGGAAAAAAAGATCTTCTCTTATATACAAATATATCTCCTTGTGCTTGTCATACTTTATCTTATTCATTCTTTTGGTTCATCATTCCTATTCTCATAGTCAAAATACTTATATTGTTATCTTTGTATCAAAGGAATTCACGTATCCTTAGAACCATACGTAAATTTAACGTTATCCAATTTTTCGGGTAAACAATTTGGCGCCCACTTTGGGGCTAAGAATAACATTGATTGCTTGATACAAATCTGCAATACACACCAGTTTACAACTTCAAAATCGACAATGGCAAACCCTCGATTGATGGTTTTACCTATCGACCACGAAGTCGGCCTTCAAGATGAAACCAACAACTTGACACCAAGGGCCGGAAGGCGAATTAACGATGCCACCGAAACTCAAGTCGAAGTACCGCTAGATGTCAATTCACAAGTGGCTCTTGAGGCGAACCAATGTTCCGAACCGGAAAAAAGCATTCAGGGCGGTACTCGATCCGTAGCTCGAGACACCCATAACGTGGAGGAGATCGGAGTCAGCTTACGGATGATCATCGAGATGTTACAAGCCCAGCAAATAGCGATAGCTCAGTTACAGAGCCAAACTCAGGTACAAAGCAGGCCGGAGCCTAATCTGCTTCGAGAAATCACCCGCAGAATGGAATCAGCCATATTGAAGTCAAATGAGCAAGAGTCGGGGACTACTCCCGAAATTACTAAATTGCTCGAGGAACTCACAAAACGAGTCGAAGCCAACGATAAAAAAGTAGAAACATATAATTCCAGGGTCGATCAGATCCCGGGAGCTCCACCAATGATAAAAGGGCTAGATTCGAAAAAATCCATTCAAAAGCCTTTTGCCTCGAGTGCAGCCCCAAAACCAATCCCCAAAAAATTCCGTATGCCCGAAATACCCAAATATAACGGAACGACCGACCTCAACGAGCACGTCGCTTGTTACACGTGTGCCATCAAGGGCAATGATTTGGAAGATGATGAGATCGAATCTGTATTATTGAAAAAATTCGGTGAAACCCTGTCGAAGGGGGCAATGGTATGGTATCATAATTTACCATCTAACTCTATTGATTCTTTTGCTATGCTTGCAGATTGTTTCGTAAAAGCACATGCCGTAGCCATAAAAGTCGAAACCAGAAAGTTGGATCTGTTCAAGGTAATACAAAAGGATAACGAGATGCTAATAGAGTTCGTATCTCATTTTCAATGGAACGAATGGATCTGCCACCAGTCCCCGACGATTAGGTTGTTCAAGCTTTCACTCAAGGTCTAAACGAGAGGAGCTCGATGGCTTCACGGCGGCTGAGGCAAAATTTGATCGACTATCCAGCTATTACTTGGACCGATGTGCACAATCGATATCAATCCAAAATAAGAGTCGAAGATGACCAGTTGATTTCTAGGTATGTTACGAAAAGAACTACCAAGCAAAAGTCGACCAGAGATCGATACCATCCATATAGCGGAAATGATACTACTGCTGAGTATCCGAGGCCTCTTTAAAATCAATCTCGTATGCTGGGGGGCTTTATCATTGAATGCATCTGTGATGATTATCAAGTTCGGTGCAAAGGAAGTCACTTCGTTATTTCATGACAAACAGTGTCTCGACAGGAAACGTTGTAAGGGCCAAATGGTCAGAACGAACTATGATTATGTTGTTGGCCCGAGCCCTAATGCAAAACATGAACGCATGTACAATGACTTGAAAAGAAAGCCCTCTTCTTTACCGATATTTTATGTTCAAGATTTATTATGCAAACAGGATCGAGTTCGAGCAAGCACTCACTCGACCATTACGTCTACGGGCTACATTACTTTGATTTTGAATCATTCACTCGACTGCTAAGCCTACGGGCTACTTTTATTTCGAGTTCGAGTAAGCACTCATTCGACCATTACGCCTACGGGCTACATTACTTCGAGTTCGAATCATTCGCTCGGATACTAAGCCTACGGGCTACATTACTTCGAGTTCGAATCATTCACTCGACTACTAAGCCTACGGGCTACTTTTATTTCGAGTTCGAGCAAGCACTCACTCGACAATTAAGCCTACGGGCTACATTACTTCGAGTTCAAATCATTCACTCGACTACTAAGCCTACGGGCTACATTACTTCGAGTTCAAATCATTCACTCGACTACTAAGCCTACAGGCTACTTTTATTCCGAGTTCGAGCAAGCAATCACTCGACCATTAAGCCTACGGGCTACTTTGACTATTACGCCTACGGGCTACATTGCATCGAGTTCGAATTATTCACTCGACTGCTAAGCCTACAGGCTACTTTTATTTCGAGTTCGAGCAAGTACTCACTCGACCATTATGCCTATGGGCTACATTACTTCGAGTTCGAATCGTTCATTTGACTACTAAGCCCACATGCTACTTTTATTTCGAGTTCGAGAAAGCACTCACTCGACCATTATGCCTACGGGCTACATTACATCGAGTTTGAATCATTCACTCGACTGCTAAGCCTACGGGTTACTTTTATTTCGAGTTCGAGCAAGCACCCACTCGAAAATTACGCCTACGGGCTACATTACTTCGAGTACGAATCGTTCACTCGACTACTAAGCCCACGGTCTACTTTTATTTCGAGTTCGAGCAAGCACTCACTCGACCATTATGCCTACGGGCTACATTACTTCGAGTTTGAATCATTCACTCGACTATTAAGCCTACGGGCTACTTTTATTTCGAGTTCGAGCAAGCACTCACTCAACCATTAAGCCTACGGGCTACTTTGACTATTACGCCTACGGGCTACATTGCATCGAGTTCGAATCATTCACTCGACTGCTAAGCCTACAAGCTACTTTTATTTCGAGTTCGAGCAAGCACTCACTCGACCATCATGCCTACGGGCTACATTTCTTCGAGTTCGGATCATCCAATCGACGACTAAGCCTACAGGCTACTTTTATTTTGAGTTCGAACTCGACCAATTAAGCCTACGGGCTACATTACTTCGAGTTCAAATCATTTTCAACAAGTCTACGGGCTACTTTTATTTCGAGTTCGATCAATCACTCACTCAACCATCACGCCTACGGGCTATATTTCTTCGAGTTCGAATCGTTGACTCACCTAGTAAGCCTAAAGGCCACATCATAAA